AGCAGTGGCCATTTTGGAGAAAGGAAATTATCACTTTRTTCTGTAGTGTACCATAGTGTACCATTAAAAAAATTAGATTGATTCCTTTAAAACTGTAATAATTGCAMTAAATTACCTCTTCAACATTAATATTTTCTTTTGCACTTGTCTCAAATACTTGAATATCCATCTGTTGAGCAAATTTTTGTGCATCCCCAGTTTCCACTACTTTACGTTCAGGACAATCATTTTTATTACCAACTGAAATGATGAATTGTATCAAAATGTAAATCAATCACAATTGACAATATGACATTCGATAGGCCCTTCAACTTACCCAATATTCGTGTAACATCATCACAATTTTGATCAATTTCATGTAACCATCTCTTTACATTTACAAATGTGTCAGCACTGGTAACATCATATACAACTATAACACCATGTGTTCCTCTATAATATCTAGTAAATGAATTGACAATAAATGCATTAGATGGATACAACAACAATTTTAAAAAAGGGAAAAAGTTGGTGGGTGCTAATTGTACTTCATTGCAGCAAGGGTGCTGAATTGCAAAAGWCGCAGCTCAATGCGCTCTCAAGTCAAAGTCCTATATAATATACAGACACATTTTACATACACCTAGATAATGCATAGGTGTGCTGCATAGGTGTGCTGCATAGGTGTGCTGCTTTACATAGCAACATCAACTGACTGCACAAAAAAACAGAAAAGAGAAAAAAAAAACAGAAAAGAAATCGAAAAACCCTGGAAGCAAGGGAGAAAATGAAAGAAACTCAAATCACATATGGCTTCCCGACAGAGATTCAAACGGGGTCCACATAGGTGACAGCTCTTTCACTGYTTGGCCACCCTTGCTTCCCATCAAGAAACAAGCAGGCGCTACTGGTTGTCATTTGTTAACTAGCAATACTTACGTTGAAGTAATTGTTCTGAAGCGTTCTTGACCAGCAGTGTCCCATATTTGTAACTTTACTTTTTCACCATCAATATTTATTGTTCTGATCTTAAAATCTACACCAATTGTTGTAATATATGAACCTGGTGYAAATAGCAAACAAGTCAGGTTATTGAACTGAAAAAAAGATACCACATATTTTGGTATGTTTTGATTTTAACTTACCAGAAAACATATTATCTGCAAATCTCAGTAATAAGCTACTCTTTCCAACACCTGAACATTATTATAATATTAGTCAATGTCATAAATGCAGCAGTGCTCACTATAAAGAGCAAAGCATTATAATGAAGTCCTCCAACGACAACACCATGACTTGTAATCACTTCCAAGACCAGACTACTTTTTACTCACTTCCATTTGTAATTTTCTGAATTGCTGTGCTACATGTACCGTATTTACTTGAATAGACTCCTCCCCCGAATAGATGCCGCCCTCAAATAGATGCCGCACTTAAAGCRCAAAATATTATTAGACACCGCCCCCGAATAGATGCCGCATCTGGGTGCGAAAATAATGATACCAGCAATTTTTGTATTTCGAAGTGACTACTTTTTTTGCTCTCAGCAGCTGTTAGATTCCGACCACGAGGAGGACATTATCACAAATTGAATCGACAAAATGAGCAGGACATTTATATATTGAGAATCGTTACTGTTTGTTAGTAAAAATATACAATATAAAGCACGGTATTTAGTACTGAATTAAGTGTTTTCCAATAAACGCTGCCCCCGAATAGACACCGCCCTCGAATAAACGCCGCACCTGGACCGTGAAAAATGAAATAAACGCTGCYGCGTCTATTCGAGTAAATACGGTATTTCTCAAAGGATAATGGATGAATTGGAATTAAAACAAGAAATGCACTCAGATGTAGTAAAATTACATAAATATGTAAATACATCATTTACTCGCTATGCTTGTGTTCCTAAGCTTGCTTCTCTGGTGTTTTTCAATTCCCACCATGTTTATATCAGAGGATAGAGACASGTACACCGTTTTATATTTCTTAAGTAAATTATATTACGTATAAGGAAACTAATACAATTTGTGTGCGGTAAACAGAAAATGATATTTGATAATAATGATGAAAATGATGCAGAAAACAATAAATGCTATATTAATATAAAGCCAAAAAACAAACACTTGATAGTCATATCTTTTGTACACTGATTAGAATATTTGCATAATGTAAGTGAATACAGAGTACCAACTTTGACAAAATTGTGACCAAAAGAGCACTTGTCATCTTCATTGATTGAGTCAATGTATTTTAATATATACATGTATGTACACATGTACTCAAAGAAAGAAAATTATACAATCACACACTAGACTGAGAAGGGCGTATCAATTTATAAATGACTGTGATTTTAACATCCACAATTTACTTGGTATTAAGGTACATGTACCTCTTTAAACTTTTGGCAATCAAACAAAATGCTGGAAAATTGCCTAGAAATGCTAAAACACTTCATCCCCATATATAATAGATTATCAGATGTCTATTATGGGAAAAGGAAACAAAGTACTGTAACATTCCACAAAGAAAACAGAGTACTGTAACGTTCCACTTCAATCAGGCATCAACCGGGTGAAATATGGTTATATGCTGTGTTTACTTATGAAGCAAATGTTATCTAAACTAGCAATCTTACGATCGATATTCACGATGACAACAAACTACTTTGTTACCATAAAACAAAGTTGCTAAACGTTAAGAAAACCAACCAAGCAAGAGAACATTGATTTAAAAACTTTGTTTACAGTCTTGTGGGTTTGAACGTTGTAAAATAATGTCTATCAGCGCAGAAATTTGAAGTATTGTTGCCTGACCCAAATCAGAAGTACTATCGGTTTAAACATTTCAATAATAAGATGCGCTTATGATAAAATAATTGTTTCTTCAAAATTGAGAAATATGTTAGTGGCATTTCGGGTTTGAATTTCACTGTCAATTTAATTTGATCGGTCAAAAGTTCCGTGCTGGTCTTGGAAGGAGCTTTACAGGAATACTACACTTACTCGCCCGTTTTAAATCGTCTGTTTTCAACTTACCGCTGTCTCCGATAATAAGGAGTTTAAAAAGATGGTCATAGTCTTTCGCCATATCGAGAATCCTAACTAAAAACTTGTCAAATGCAAAGGATTCAGAATTTTTCCATGTAGAATCTCAACACACAGGAAGTGACTTTGCAATGCGACCAAATCGAAGTCACGTGTTTATTTTCGAGATGGGGTGTGATCATTCGTCACTAGTCTTCCGCAGTAGTGATCTTTTGCAAAAATAAAAGTAAGTATTATTTGCAAAAACATGATAATTTTTGAGAGCAGAGGATCAAGGAGAAAATAAAAAAATGAAACATAAATGGGAAGCTTTTTAAATCCCATATTATTAAATATCAGACTGCATCCGCGCAATATATCTTGATTTCTTCCAAGACTGTTAACACAAAAAGTTCAAGTTAAAAATTAATGGGAACAAGGTAACAATTGAAGGTAGACATAGAATCTAAATTTTTGGCAGGCGTCCTTGACTGCTGTGATGTCACTCAAATGAGCCGTGGTTACTAAGCATGTCGACAAAGAACGCCTAGTAGTTTTCATCCTCCGGTGTTTCAAAATATTTATAAAGGCAGTTATGTATAAAAATTTGACCAAAAATGCACGTCAAATTATGGAATTTTACAATTTAAAGGTTCATCCTGGTTACGTTAGGAGAAACCTTTGTCGCGCCTCTTACAATGAGCTGTTTACAAGGTTTGAATCTTGACTATTTTTAGGATAAAAAAAACAGTCSTCCCCTTCTTGCAAGTTCAGCTATTCTTATAAATGACGACCCACTGACGACCAGATAATTTCCTGTGAAATATGAAAAATATATATTTGAGTTTGGTTTATGTAGTCGATTAATCTGCTGTGTTTCATACAGTTCTCCAGTGAGATTATCTTATGCGAAGATTGAAGGTGAAGACACAGATCCTGATCCAAGTCCTCCACCTTTATTTATTTTACATGGATTATTTGGTGCTAAAAAGAACTGGCGAAGCATTGGAAAAGCTTTAAATGCAAAAACTGGAAGGCAGGTACACCACATACCAGCTATCCTCTGCTGTAGTTTTAATTTTGATATAATTTCAAAGTCCAGATTGGTGAACTTCGAATCAAAATTTGAAGTGAAGTTTTACATGAAAGGAACTGTCCTTCAGTCATTGTCAAGAGGGGGGCATGAGTTTAGTTCGRTTAAAGCTGCAACTCAAGAAAATAACCCCTAAAATAAAGAAGTTTCAAAAATAATCTCACACTATAATTTTTGATAAAAAGTGAAACGCCCAGAATTTACCAAAGAAAAATGTCCCCTTAGACACCCTCACACCCTTAACAACCCATGATTAATGAACAGACCAAAAAAATGTCATAAAAACACACCCTGAATAATATATTAATTATTTATATGAATTATTTGAATGTTTGCTGAATGTAAAAAATCTTCTTTTTTTAATTTTGAAAATATCTACACAGGTAATATCAATTGATGCAAGAAACCATGGAAGCAGTGAACATAGTGATGAAATGAACTATTTTGTRCAAGCACTGGATGCTAAAAACTTGCTTGAAGAACTAGATATTGAAAAGACTGTGTTAATTGGRCACAGCATGGGTGGAAAAGTTGCAATGACACTGGCTTTGTCATTTCCTGATTTAGTGGAAAAAGTTATTATTGTAGACAGTTCTCCTACGCCYTCAATCTCTGATGAAGATATACAAAAGTACTTAAAAGTCAAACTTCAAATGAATTTAAGTCAGATCAGGGATAAAAAGGAGGCTGAAAATTTGATGAAAAGTGAAATTGAAGTAAGTCTAAAACTTCATTTTTCTTACCTACTTTTTTCAGTRATGAAAAATTCAAAATAAAGTGTTTAACAAAACAAGGGTGATACAACTTAAAAAACGCCGTGGCGCAGAAATCTCAGTCTACATGTATGGCCCCAACCTAACTACTTTGTTGTGACACAGGAAGCCAAAAGTTCCAAATTTGACAATGAGTATGAGTTTTAATAAGAGTACTAGCTTTAAAAAATGACTTTCAGTGTGAGTTTTTGACACTAGATTTCAGTCCACTTTGTATTTTGTATTTCTTCCAGAGCAGTATCATGAGYCAGTTTTTCCTAGCCAACCTTATCCCATTGCCTGAGGGTGGATTCAGATGGAGAATAAACTTGGAAGCCATTGAAAATAATTTACAAGATTTAATGGCATTTCCTTCACACTTTCCACATCAGCAATTCAAYGGAGAAGTTCTTTTTATTGGTGGTGGAAACTCAAAATATATTCAGTAAGTTGTTTGTATAATTTCTTGATTGATCGATTGATTGATTGATTTTATCTTCATGGTCATAACGGACAGTTTCTCTAACTGATGAAGTGATATTTGATTGTAATATTTTAAATTCATTCATTTCTAAATGTTCACATGTTGGTCCATGAATTACTGTAAGCCCACAAATCTAAATCGTCAGTAAAGCCTGTCAAGTTGTAAATATTTATCAATATTTTATTTTTCAGGGAAAAAGATTTTCACATAATCTACAGTCTTTTTCCCAAAGCAGAAATAACATACATCCCAGACTGTGGTCATTGGGTYCATGCACAGAAACCCAGGGAATTAATGCAGTTGATATTGGATTTTTTACACAAGAAGTAGTTAACACTATAATAGAGTTTGTCAGGATTAAATATACATTGATCAAATCTTCTCTTCGAGAGCACCATCACGGACCATATTCAAGAGGGTAAAAAGAAGTGGTCAATGGAATGCGATATGGACGGAAAATCGTTTTTATTCAATGGACACACGGTATAATATAGACACTTCTGAAACTCACAACATTGTTTTAGAAGTCAACAAGCCAATGTTTCTAGCTGGAGTGCGCCTGTTTGCTCCTGATTCAGATGATCAAGGCACAATTTTACTATCAATTCACAAGGCAAAGACAAACTTTGAATTGCACAGCACAATGTTAAATCTAAAAAAGGAAACACGAACAAAAATCGATGATTCCTACATTGGATTCACGGTACTTATAAAACCATCTGTATTTCTGTTACCAATGGAAAAATACTCTGTTATTGCACGCTTAGTTGATGTCAAAGAAAAGCAAAAAATAACAGAACAACCGCAGTGTTTAGTAAAGCCTGGATTCGCCCCATCTAGTGCTGGTTTTTGCTTTTCCAGCAATACTGGCGGCCTTTTCGGCGCTGTTAGTACTCCTAATGTTTCCCGCATCTTGTCAACTGTATGAAGTGGAGGGAAAAGCGAAAGCTCCTACCAGGATCTAAAAATAACATTTATAGATCCCGATGATTCAGCGAATCCTGGTACCACTTCTAAATATGGACAATTTCCTTCATTTCTTTTGAAGCGGAAGGTCCTCTTAGAGAAACGAGTGGTGACCACTGAGTGAGAAAGGAAAAACGTGTATCGGCATATGACTGCTACAAAGTGAACACATTGTGTAGCTAATTCAAGAAAATCCGATATATACGTATGTGCACATGTATCTACAACTCTGCGCTTTGCTGCTTTCATGTTTTCCGAGGCACTTATAGTAACAATTTTAGACCCACTATACTACTTTTATCCAAACTTAGCAAACTGCTTGTCAAGCTTTAGTAAACAAGATGAAAACAAAAAGCAAGCTCGACACTGAGTGTGGAACGTAATTTCACTAATTTTTAGTTAGAAATAGTTTTTATAGATATCAATGAAATGCCAGGTATTTCTCTATAAATATACGTGGAAAACTTTTTAATTTTCATAATTATGTGGAAGATAGAACGGATTTCGTATGACTGTTCAAAAAAACAYGGCACTTTCGAGCAGTACCCGTTCTCTACCGGGACTGTGATGCCTTCTTCAATAACTATTTAAACAAAAAACAAAAAAAATAATATTTTTCTTTTTCAATTATTATTATTATGGTCATCAGAGGCGATCAGGGTGACTGAATATGCAAATAAAATGTAGATGATCAATCTTTGGTACATGATGTGCATCAAAAATCGTTACACTAGGGTTCTATTTCGGAAAGAATATTAATAGGTGCAAATGATTTCGAGTCTTTCTGAGCATCTTTTTACAATTAGAATTACGAAATAGAATTTTATTTTTCTCTGTCGATAGATCCAAAATTACACAGTAAATTCCTTTTCAATTTCATCAATCATTCTTAGCTCTGCTTCATCATAAACTGCTAATGTCTTCTCAGATTTTTGTTTAGTTTCCAAATTTGTTTTATGTGATGTAGACTTAGATGCGTCATTAAAAGTATTACTTTCAGGCTTCTCTTTAACTATGGATGCTTTTTTGCTGTCATCCATACCACGCTGTTGGGTAGTCCCTTTCTTGTTGTCGGTATGCCCTCGTCGTGTCTTTGGACGCTCCATGTGCCTCGGTTTGCGTCTCTTTTCATCGCCTTTCTTTTCTATCTTCTCTATCTCTATGAGGTCTTCTAGTAGTTTGTCTGCACTCTCAATACCATCGGAATCTGACTCTTCCTCTTCAGTAMATGGACAAGCGATTTCCATGCATTCCTTTTTTGCTACTGCATAATTATCTCGCCTTGTAATATCATCTGTAGCAAACAGTGAATTCAAGGTTTCTTCTTTTTTATAAGACTGTGACAGTTTTTGTGATAGTGGTACTCCAGGCAAGCCGTGTTCACTTAGATATGAATGATTATGATGGGAGAGTTTTGCTCTATTTAAATCTGAAGTAACTTTGCTTTGACGGGGACTCAATGGACGAAGAGTCGCCTTTTTGGTGTAYGCCAYGGGATGCGCACACGGGAGGATATTACCAATGCTTGTTTGATGACTCTTATCATCTTCATTAATGTCTTTGCAGCACTTGAGTACATCACCAGCGCCGTCATTAGTTTTCCATTTCAGCMTGCATTCCTCTTGAAGAGTAGAATCTAGAGCTGTCAGAGCCCTATTGGACGAGTGCGTGACAGATTGCAGCATTGGTCCGGCCGTCACAGTAGTGGTAACACCAGAAGCACAGTTTCCCATTTCATTACTACGAGAATTAACTTACATTGTCCATTGCCAATTGTCTGGCTAATATGACGTAATAATAGCTAATTATTACGTCACCAGCTAATAAGTAGACGTAATCAAATTTTTTGAGCGTGCGCACAAGCGAGCAGCAAAAACATGAACGCGCGAGTAAATTTTAGATTATTTTTGCTTTGTTTTTGAATCAAGTTCTTTGGAATCTGATATAGTTGGAAGGAAACAAGTTCTGAATTAAACCAAATAGGTCCTTAACATATCAAGAACATCTTGAGCCAACAGTCAGGTAGAGCAGCGGCGAACATATTGTAGGACCTCCCTTCCTATTTTTCACCAATCTCGACCCGGAAAGACTCTGGAGGAATCGACTGGATTTGCGACGCTTTTCCGTCACAATTATGCAAATGAGGTCAGTTTTGTTTTTTGCTTTTAGAGCATTAAAATGACAAAAAAGAAGAAGGCTTAGCAAACAACTTAGTTTAGAAACGATATTTACACCTTTTTAAAAATAATAATGTGTGAAAACATGTGTGGTTATGCGAAAAAAGGATGATTTTCTTGACTAAACAGGCCACAGGTAGCCCAAGCACTTATCGGCTTTTCTCGTAAGGTCTTGTGAGGAAAACGAAAAATTTAATAAAAGTAGGAAATCTTAATAAAAAGAATTCAAACTCACACAATATGTTGTTCTTAATTTATTACACATCTATGCGAAGTTTCATTTCTCTGCAGTCAAAAAGACTGCTTTTTTTCTTAATGTTGGTCCCCTAGATAATAAATACTACAAGGTTGGTAACTCCGATAAGCGATCGCCTCCAAACAATGCAAATTTTCTCTCCTAAAATCTCAACTCGAGCAAATTTCGACCTCACAGCCTCTTAGAACGATAAATTCTCTTTCCACACATACCAACTTCAAGTTATCAGATCGCTTTTCTAGCCAGAAAATCCCCAGGGTAAAACAATTTGAAAAGCAAATTTTTCGTYGCCGTGTACCCCCATAATCCTCATCGGTCAACGGTCAATGGAAAGGCGCGCACGTCCGATTGGTCGGTTTCAATTTCTTGCAAAAGCTTACCTGTCCTTTTCAATCATCAGAAAACGAGAAAAAATTGATTCCTCCAGACTCTCTCACGCATTGGCATCCGGTGGATGGCAAAAGTGCGGGCTCTTGGTACAAGATTGATTCATCTCACGTATCAAACCGTCGTAGTGATCAAACACGATATAAGCAAACGTGTTGAAATACATGAATGAAATTCACCTTTTATAAGATATGGAATGTTCACAATTGCGCGACAAAAGTTGTGTTTTCCTTACTTTCATATCCTCTTTCTCAAATGAATGTCAATAAAAATTTATAGTAGACATTGTTTATTTAATCTCATGTGCTAAGACTCCATTATGATATATGAAATACCCCGATCTGTAAATATTTATATATTTTTGGTTCAAACAATGAGGAATTAAAACAAATCTATTTCAGGTGGTATTACAGGTTAAGGGAGGGGTGCAATAATTTCTCGAATGCAATAATCCAAGCTGACGAGCTGTTTTTGTTACCTATGATATCGCTGCATTGACCAGCAATAACAATTCTTTAAAATATATTTTCAACGACGTTCGAGGACATACATTTCTTGTAGTCCATCCACGTGTTCACAGCGTGATAGCAAAACTAAAATAATGAAATAATGAAGACTTTTTTGAACCGGTTGATATTTAGGACAAGTAGAAACTGAAAAGATTTTTCTAAGGATGTGAATTGACGTCTTACTTATGTTAGATGTACATTATTCTCAATGCACAGCTACACAGCAAATATCTTAYGTACAACGATTTTATTACTGACACCGTTTTTCAAAGGCTTAGTTGTTTGGTGGGTATTTTAGAAACCACTGGAGTCTGAAATTTTAAAAGGTACCATGCGCCTTTTATGATGCCGCCTTGGGTTAGTATCCAAAATTTGATATTTTTCTTTTCCTGCCAAACATATAGTTCTTAGTCAAAGATGTTTGAATGTATGTAAAACTGCCTGAGTATGAATTATAAGAAAAATACACTTAAAATATTCATTCCTGCTAATTTGATGAGCTCTATCTCCATAATARTAAAGTGTTACTAAATGATCAAAATTCCTTTTTCGGAAAATGCTAAGGCTTGATCAAGTGCTTTTTTCTATAATAAATTTTGATAAGTATATTTAAAATAGAACATAAACAATCAATTTATTCAATTACGAAAAGATTGCTTGTATATTTTGTAAAGTCTATATTCAGAGAATCCTCCTTCTTGATGTAGCATTTAATCGTATGTCTTACMCTGCTTACGATTCTCGATTCTCAAATGGCTCTGGAGGGATCAGCCAACGCTGAGCACACACAACTATAGATAAAATTACTGACCAGTTGCTCCAATTTGAAACCCGGTGTAATTCATTGCAATGTAAAAACAACAAAGGCGCCTAATTTTCTTCACTCGGACTCACGTGACKTTTCTAATGCTAAATTATTTACCAATAGCAAACTGCGATAAAGAATGTCAGTCCAATAGGAATCACAATTGACTTCTATCGTTACACCAATTGATTAACAAAAAACCTGTGATGGTGTCGCAAACTGGCTAGAATAAAAGAACGCTCTGCCATAATTCATCTTGCATTGATAAAAACCCTTGGAGSTTCTTGGACGGCATCATTCTTGASGAAAGAGGTACAGTATATATAACTTTTATCGATAATTTCTCATGACACCAAAACAAATAAGTTAGACATAAGATTGCAAATTGCGAGTACATAGTTTTGTTATGAGTAAAATTAGAGTCATGCAGTTTTTATTATGATACTTTTCTTTGGTTGTTTTGTCTTATTAGTTCTTAGTTTAATTCTCTTTTAACCAATTAACGCCGAACTATCAACGATTTAAATGACACCAGTTTTATAACCTGACTTTTGTCAGTTTTAGCAACGTGATTTTGCGTAGTTTTGAAATTCGGTTTTCCTTGTGACGATTCTTGTTGTAAACAACACATGAACTAGCGGCTGGAGAAAAGACAAACAATAGTGCGAAAAAAAGAACTAGAGACATGACAACACTATCCCATGTTTTTTCACGTCTTTATAAAAAGTCTAAAAAGCTTTCACTGTACTTCCAAAGCGACAAGGTTTTTCCCTAGTTTTTTCAATCTATGTATAATGTTGATTTAGTGATCCTGTACCAACTGTAATTGATCGAACCAAAATCAATAGAATACCTATTCAATAATTGGTCAATACCTTTGAAATAAGAACTTTGGAGGATTACAGACCTGTAGTCAGAAACAAAGTTTTCAGAAGCAACGTTTTCCTATCTTGTACTTGTCTTGTTTTAAATAAGCTACCTGAGAAACCAGACAACGTGATAGACAATAAGAGCGCCCAGGTATACCACATACTGGTGAGGGGTGGGGCACATACTGGTGAGGGGAGGGGTGGGATTCGAACCAATTGTCGCTTTAAACAAAGTACTGCAGGGAAGCTACAATAATATAATTTACATTTAACTCAACATATTTGAATCGATCTCCTGTAAGAGACTCCCTTGAGAAACAGAAAAAGAACTTGTTTCCTGTTAAAGATGTACGGTGTTTGTTAAAGAAAGAAAAAAAGAAATGGCCAGCACAATTAATCAATTTATACCGAATAAACTCTTGACGCTAACTAATATCAATATTCAATATATCAAGAAAGTAGAATAATTGTTTTATATCCAATCATTGTTGAATTCATTAGCTAGAGTCAGATTTGTCCTGATTTTTATACGACATTTACTTTGATTTTTTGTTAAAAATTATATGAAATGTGCCCATAACCCTCGCTCATATTTTACATCAATATTACATAAAACTCCAGATTAATTTATGCTAGGGTAACCGTTAATAGATATAATTTCATAGTATATCCTAAAGATTTACGATCTATTTCTACTGACGAGAAAAGAGCGAAAA